GGGGGGGGGGGGGCCGGGGCGCTGAGTGTTCCTAGAGGAAGAACTCAGTAACCTTTTTATCGAAAACCGTGCCTTTAAGCTCTGCTGGGAATAACGAAGGTAAACCGTTTTAAGGTAGATTGAAGGAATTTATACATGAAGAAATCGAGGTCAGGCACCTTCACGCATTTCTCGCAAGGTTGCTTTTTCAATTCCTATTATGTCACGGTAAACATCCACACCAATACAAATTGTGTGTTGAACAACTGAGAACAACCCTCCAACTATATGACGCGATGAAAGAAGTGTTGGGAAAGTCCGTAGGGTAACATTGATAGGAAGAATGTAGATGTAGGCATGTGATCATCCTTGGCCAATGTCGCGAACTCGAGGGTGGTTGCTACCCTGTTTTCCCTCTCTTTTAGGGAAAGTGGCTTCTACGGCTCTTCGATATGTCATCTGAACTGCGCACTACCTAGGCGGCTATGTAGTTTTGGGGATATTTTCTGGGAACCCTTCCTACAGGCTGAACGGTTCATGGTTTTGAGAGTTACTTGGCGGACGGGGAGCCACAATGCCCTTTGGCTTCCAAGGCTATGGCAAAATCGAGCATATAGGACGAAGTATTTGGAGTGAACGAATCCCGTTTTCGGAGCGCGCCACGCATCCTACCTTCATTCCGATAAGCCGCCTCTATAATGAGTTGCGGCGATCAGCTGGTGTAGAATTTAGTTTTTTAATGCTTCGAATCTGGAATGGAAAGCTCGGATAACCTAGGCGAATATCGATACGGAATTCCTGGATTAGCCTCTGTGATAGTGCATCACTTGCCACTACGCCATCCCTCCAAGTTATCATTGTACAGCGTCAAAATCAATCGTAGTTCAAACTCCGATGTATCATCCAACATGTTCACTTATTACTCGAATTACTGTAATAATATATTTAAATGTGATCGTAATATTAATTACCTTACCTATCCGGACTGATCCATCAATGAAGGTACAGTTTCCACCAGCCAGTGGAGCTATCGTATTGGAGTTGATGATTACCGAAGTGAATACACATTCTGAACAGGATTGGATTTACCTCGGCTTCCAACTGTGTTTTCATCCCAAAACAGGCC